GTCTTAGGGAGGATATCCCGCCGTTATCTCCGTATCACAGAGTGGCGATTATTGTCTTATATAATTCTTTATTTTCCGACTTCAGGTGAGAAATTTGTCTACAAAGATCGACCGCCTAAGTGAGTGATCAAAAACCTGACTACTGGAGTCCTTATTGACAGTTTGTTAACATATAACTTAATGATATTTAATGATTGATTTCTGGTACAGGATTTCGTATCCTCTGCATCAGACCCAAGGCATTGTGCTATAATTAATGTAATGACGGAACACCAAACTTTTGAAGTTTTCTCTATGGTATTCATATGCATGTGGTCGTTATAGAGTTATAAGTGGTCTATACCCAGATGGTCGTTATACAGTTATAAGTGGTTTATACGCAGATGGTTGTTATAGAGTTATAAGTTGTTTATACGCATATGGTCGTTATAGAGTTATTAGTGGTCTATACGCAGATGGTTGTTATAGAGTTATAAGTTGTTTATACGCAGATGGTCGTTAAACAGTTATAAGTGGTCTATACGCGGATGGTCGTAACAGAGTTATAAGGGGGCTATACGCAGATGGTCGTAACAGAGATATAAGTGGTCTATTCGCAGATGGTCGTTATAGAGTTCTAAGTGGTCTATACGCAGATGGGCGTTATAGAGTTATAAGGGGTCTATACCCAGGTGGTCGTTATACAGTTATAAGGGGTCTATACGCAGATGGTCGGTATAGAGTTATAAGTGGTCTATCCCCAGATGGTCGTTATACAGTTAGAAGTGGTCTATACGCAGATGGGCGTTATAGAGTTATAAGTGGTTTATACGCCGATGGTCGTTATACAGTTAAAAGGGGTCTATACGCAGATGGTCGTTGTACAGTTATAAGTGGTCTATACTCAGATGGTCGTTATACATTTCTTAGTGGTATATAAGCAGTTGGTCGTTATACAGTTATAAGGGGTCTATACGCAGATGGTCGTGATAGAGTTATAAGTGGTCTATGCGCAGATGGTCGTAACAGAGTTATTAGTGGTCTATACGCAGATTGTCGTAACAGAGTTATAAGTGGGCTATAAGCAGCTGGTCGTTATAGAGTTATAAGTAGTCTATACGCAGATGGTCGTAATAGAGTTATAAGTGGTTTATACGCAGATGGTCTTTATATAGTTATAAGTGTTTTATCCGCAGATGGTCGTTATACAGTTAAAAGGGGTCTATACGCAGATGGTCGGTATACAGTTATAAGTGGTTTATACTCAGATGGTCGTTATACAGTTAAAAGTGGTATATACGCAGATGGTCGTTATAGGGTTATAAGTGGTCTATACGCAGGTGGTCGTTTTAGATTTATAAGTGGTCTATACGCAGATTGTCGTTATACAGTTATAAGTGCTCTATACGCAGATGGTCGTTAAACAGTTATAAGTGGTCTATACGCAGATGATCGTTATAGAGTTATAAGTGGTTTATACGCCGATGGTCGTTATAGAGTTATAAGCGTTCTATATGCAGATGGTCGTAACAGAGTTATTAGTGGTCTATACGCAGATGGTCTTTATACAGTTATTAGGGGTCTATACGCAGATGGTCGGTATAGAGTTATAAGTGGTCTACACGCAGATGGTCGTTATAGAGTTAGTTATTAGTGGTCTATACGCAGATGGTTGTTATAGAGTTATAAGTTGTTTATACGCAGATGGTCGTTATAAAGTTATAAGTGGTCTATACGCCGATGGTCGTTATACAGTTAAAAGGGGTCTATACGCAGATGGTCGTTCTACAGTTATAAGTGGTCTATATTAGTGGTCTATACGCAGATGGTAGTTATACAGTTATAAGTGGTTTATACGCAGATAGTCGTTATAGAGTTATAAGTGGGCTATACGCAGATGGTCGTTATACATTTATAAGAGGTCTATACGCAGATGGTCGTTATAGACTTATAAGTGGTCTATACAAAGGTGTCGTTATAGAGTTATAAGTGGCCTATACGCAGATGGTCGTTATAAAGTTATAAGTGGTCTATACGCAGGTGGTCGTAACAGAGTTATAAGAGGTCTATACGCAGATGGTCGTTACAGAGTTATAAGTGGTTTATACGTAGATGGTCGTTATAGAGTTATACGTGGTCTATACGCAGATGGTCCTTATAGAGTTATTAGTGGTCTATACGCCGATGGTCGTTATAGAGTTATTAGTGGTCTATACGCCGATGGTCGTTATACATTTATAAGTGGTCTATACGCAGTTGGTCGTTATAGAGTTATAAGTAGTCTATACCCAGATGGTCGTTATACAGTTAGAAGTGGTCTATACGCAGATGGGCGTTATAGAGTTATAAGTGGTCTATATGCAGATGGTCGTAACAGAGTTATAAGGGGGCTATACGCAGATGGTCGTAACAGGGTTATAAGTGGTCTATACGCAGGTGGTCGTAACAGAGTTATAAGTTGTTTATACGCATATGGTCGTTATAGAGTTATTAGTGGTCTATACGCCGATGGTCGTTATAGAGTTATTAATGGGCTATACGCAGATGGTCGTTATCCAGTTATAAGTGGTTTATACGAAGGTGGTCGTTTTAGATTTATAATTGGTCTATACGCAGATGGTCGTTAGTCAGTTATAAGTGGTCTATACGTAGATGGTCGTAACAGAGTTATTAGTGGTCTATACGCAGATTGTCGTTATACAGTTATAAGTGCTCTATACGCAGATGGTCGTTAGTCAGTTATAAGTGGTCTATACGTAGATGGTCGTTATAGAGTTATTAGTGGTCTATACGCCGATGGTCGTTATACATTTATAAGAGGTCTATACGCAGATGGTCGTTGTACAGTTATAAGTGGTCTATACTCAGATGGTCGTTATACATTTCTTAGTGGTATATAAGCAGTTGGTCGTTATACAGTTATAAGTGCTCTATACGCAGATGGTCGTTATTCAGTTATAAGTGGTTTATACGAAGGTGGTCGTTTTAAATTTATAAGTGGTCTATACGCAGTTGGTCGTTATCCAGTTATAAGTGGTTTATACGTAGATGGTCGTTATACAGTTAAAAGTGGTCTATACGCCGATGGTCGTTATAGAGTTATAAATGGTCTATACGCAGATGGTCGGTATAGAGTTATAAGTGGTCTACACGCAGATGGTCGTTATAGAGTTAGTTATTAGTGGTCTATACGCCGATGGTCGTTATACAGTTAAAAGGGGTCTATACGCAGATGGTCGTAACAGAGATATAAGTGGTCTATTCGCAGATGGTCGTTATAGAGTGATAAGTGGTCTATACGCAGATGGGCGTTATAGAGTTATAAGTGGTATATACAAAGGTGGTCGTTATAGAGTTATAAGCGGTCTATACGCAGATGGTCGTGATAGAGTTATAAGTGGTCTATAGGCAGATGGTCGTAACAGAGTTATACGTGGTCTATACGCAGATGGTCCTTATAGAGTTATTAGTGGTCTATACGCCGATGGTCGTTATAGAGTTATATGTGGTCTATACGCAGATGGTCGTAACAGGGTTATAAGTGGTCTATACGCAGTTGGTCGTTATCCAGTTATAAGTGGTTTATACGAAGGTGGTCGTTTTAAATTTATAAGTGGTCTATACGCAGTTGGTCGTTATCCAGTTATAAGTGGTTTATACGAAGGTGGTCGTTTTAGATTTATAATTGGTCTATACGCAGATGGTCGTAACAGAGCTATAAGTGGTCTATACGCAGATAGTCGTTATACAGCTATAAGTTGTCTATACGCAGATGGTCGTTATACAGTTATAAGTGGTCTATACGAAGGTGGTCGTTTTAGATTTATAAGTGGTCTATACGCAGATGGTCGTTATACAGTTATAAGCGGTCTATACGCAGATGGTCGTTATTCAGTTATAAGTGGTCTATACGCAGCTGGTCGTTATACAGTTATAAGCGGTCTATACGCAGATGGTCGTAATAGAGTTATAAGTGGGTTATACGCAGATGGTCGTTCTACAGTTATAAGTGGTCTATAAGCAGGTGGTCGTTATAGAGTTCGTTATTAGTGGTCTATACGCAGGTGGTCCTTATAGAGTTAGTTATTAGTGGTCTATACGCAGATGGTCGTTATACAGTTATAAGTGGTCTATACGCAGATTGTCGTTATACAGTTATAAGTGGTCTATACGCAGGTGGTCGTTATAGAGTTAGTTATTAGTGGTCTATACGCAGGTGGCCGTTATAGAGTTATAAGTGGTCTATACGCAGATGGTCGTTATACAGTTATAAGTGGTCTATACGCAGGTGGTCGTTATAGAGTTAGTTATAAGTGGTCTGTACGCCCTTGGTCGTTATAGAGTTATAAGTGGTCTACACGCAGCTGGTCGTTATAGAGTTATAAGTGGTCTGTACGCAGATGGTCGTTATAGAGTTATAAGTGGTCTGTGCGCAGATGGTCGTTATATATGGACAAGTGTGGACAAGTGGTCTATAATAGACAGGTGGCCGCTATATAGACCACTGGTCTCTATAACTTAAGCCAGATGGTCGTTATAGCCAAGTGGTCTATAAAAGGCAGGTGGCCGCTATAGACTACTGGCCCCAGAATCATGAAACAACAAATCTTGAGTCTAAAATAGTCTTAAGTTCTGACCTAGCCAATCACAAATAACGTTAAAAATTATATCTGAGATTGTTTCATGACCCTGGGGCATGGTCTCAATAAGCCAGATGGTCGTTATAGACAAGTGGTCTTTAAAGGACAGGTGACCGCTATATACTACTGTATGGTCTATATCAGTTAGATGGTCGTTATTCATTGTGGTCATAAAATACAGGTGGCCGCTCTATTTATATATAGACTAGTGAGTGAAAGCAGGATTCACAGTAAGATATCGATATTTGTTGATGAAGATCATGCTAACATAGTAAGAAGAATTTGTCGGCTCTGTAAGTCTATAGGGACCAACGTCAAGCTCTCGTGAGTTTGTTTTCCTCACGTGATCATGTCCTACCTTCACCGACACCGGATCTTGTGATGATGACAATACCTGTTACAACATACACACGTGTGGTGACGTGGGCGATGACCTACATATATGTGTATGTATTTCACAATACCCGTTTTACCCGGTAAACATATATACCGCTGCACTTTTTACATATTATGTCTATGAGCATAGCAGAAGACAATTTGTGAACCCATTCAGGTCAAAGTTACCTTTGAAATTGGGAAAAGACTCGCGTTACCAGGGAGCTGTTTAGAATTGATATATTTACTAATTCCTAGGACTGCCAAGTCCGTTGGTATAATTAGTAGGGAGGACCCTACAGCGGGATCAAGCCGATCAACAGCGATGGCTACGGCATCTGTCAGGTAAGGTTGTGTATTTATACATGTATATAGATTGTATTGAAAGCTGGACGACTTCTCGCATGTATGGTTAACTTGAGAGCTTAAAAACTAAATACAAATCCCGTTCGCCCTAGGTTGTTTCGCCATCAAACATGTTTTTTAGGGCGAAACATTGTTTGGTATTTTCTTTTTATTTGTTATAAGTCACAAATTAAGCCTTCTTAGTCTTTCATATCATTAAAATCAGTTTTATTAAAAAAAAGTATGTGTTTGTGTTTTGATGACCAATAAAATTTAATATGCATATTAATTAATTTAGTTTCTTTATATGTCCATATCTTATCTATATATTATACGTATCCATGTACTTAGACTATAAAACTTAATGTTGTTTTTGTTTTGTTAAATCCCTAGCTCATGTTTCAGCAATTCCATTAGAGGAACAGACGGCCTACCTCTGGCTTCACACCTAGTTAAACTTCCAATGTGTTCCTAAATGTGTGCTTTGGTGTAGTGTTTTCCATTCTAGTATTTTAAATCACAACCCAGAAATTGATTCTGAGAGACTGCTTAAAATTGCAATTAATTATATATAATTTATCAATAAAATTTGTCATAGAGAATCTTATTAGCTCACCCAAGGTAATATAAGTCTGCCCTCACCCAAGGTAGTGTAAGTCTGCCCTCACCCAAGGTAGTGTAAGTCTGCCCTCACCCAAGGTAGTGTAAGTATGCTCTCACCCAAGGTAGTGTAAGTCTGCCTGTTTTATAATTTCATTAACTCGTATATTTTTTTTTTAACTCAGACAGGTGAGGAGACAGCTATCCAAGGATGTGTGGAACAGTGATCGCCAGAAATTTTTCAGTTGTGTTCGTCGTGGCAAAGTCGCAGAAGTGGAGTAAGTGGGTACATGAGGAGCAAGGGGAAAGGCGGGGCAGATCAGTGAAAATATACACAAGTTTATCGATACTGTAACAGAAAATGTCTCATGGCCAGAAAATGCAGAAGTTTCCACTTTTACAAAGTGGAGAAACAGCAGGGTTGGTGAAAACGTTGATTCTTGATAAGGACTAATGCAATGTGTTTGTAGGTGTATAGGTTTGAATGTCTTGATAACATATGATTGCTCTATTCTACGTTTGGCCTTAACTATGGAACGACAAATTAACATTTACATTCAAATAATTGCACCAATCTTCAAATGTTTGAAGATATGTTTAATTTAATTAAAGATAGGTTCAATTCATTTGAGGATATGTTGCATTTGTAAACCTAAGTTCAATTAATTGTACCTATCTTCGATTCAATTGAACCTATCTTCAATGAATTGTACCTATCTTCAACTAATTGTACCTATCTTCAATTCAATTGTACCTATCTTCAATTAATTGTACCTATCTTCAATTCAATTGAACCTATCTTCAATTAATTGTACCTATCTTCAATTCAATTGTACCTATCTTCAATTAATTGTACCTATCTTCAATTATTTGAAGATAGTTGGAATTATTTGAATATATGGTAATTTGTCGTTCCATACTTACAGAAAGTGTATTATTACATGCCATCACAGAAATACTGGGTATAATCATGCTTCTCCTTCTACTGTTGCAGTTACTATGTGAAAAAAGTGGGAATAGATGTGAACATTACCGATCCCTGGGACAACTGCCCACTGTAAGTTTTTCTTAGTTTGGTCATTTTCATATAAAAATATATAGATTCTATAGTTTTTTGATATGAAGGATACAGAATTTTTACTGGAATGTGTAGAATTTGTGTCAAAAACCTAAGCTTTGTACAGATTCTGAGCCCAAATTCTACCTCCTCTGGTAGAATTTCTACGTTTTCCATATCTGCCTAAACATTGTTTACTTTTCTCCCTGTGACCTCCAACCAGAATTATTGGTAAATTAAGTGGTAACATACACATAACCTAAGGTCAAATTTGGGAAGAGAAGGAACAGGTACAGTATAGGAGAAGTATTCCTCACCTGCAAGACCCTCATAGCAGGGTTTGAAAAAAATCTTGAATGCTATTGTCAGATTGTGAGAAATATAGTTTAGTCAGTGTGCCCACATACAGATACCAGTTATGAGTGTTCTGTATGGGACACACATGATCAAAATTATTTATATGATTTTCAAATACTGGTAGCTCAACATTATCAAAAACCAAGTTTATTTTTTTGTGTGAGACTTAAATATTATTGTGATTGTAAGGAAGATGATTGCTTCACCCTGGTCTGATTTCCTAGGTACTTTAGAAACATGGTTTATTGTCTATGTTACTTAAAATTAGAATTAATGATTTTATAAAAAAATATAGATGGGAATCAAACATCTTTCGGTCGGGGGGCTCTTAGAAAGTCTAGGCTTTCAACTTTCTATAATTTATCATAGTAGATATAAACATGGAAATTCTATTATAACAATTCTTCACATGTCTCTTCACTTTATCATGATTATCATACAGATGATACACTTATTGTCATTGTATGGTATTTCACAGGTATCTAGCGTGTCTGTGTGGGCATCTCGAGATGGTGAAATATCTATTGAAAAAAGGTAATAAAGATATTACTTATTATATAATGTATAACACTATATACACTTATATCAATTACATGTACACTAATTACACTAACAAATTACATGTACACTTATTACATATACACTAATTACATATACTAATTGCATACAATAATTACATACACTAATTACATATACACTAATTACATATACTAATTACATATACACTAATTACATACACTTATTACATATACACGAATTACATACACTAATTACATATACTAATTACATACAATAATTACATACACTAATTACATATACACTAATTACATATACTAATTACATATACACTAATTACATATACACTAATTACATATACACTAATAACATATATACTAATTACATATACACTTATTACATATACACGAATTACATATACACTAATTTCATACACTAGTTACAAACACTTATTACATATACACTAATTACATATACTAATTACATACACTAATTACATATACACTAATTACGTATACACTAATTACATACACTAATTACAAACACTTATTACATATACACTAATCACATACACACTTATTACATACACTAATTACATATACATTTATTACCTGTACACTAATTGTACTAAACAATAATTACATATACACTAATTACATACACTTATTACATATACACTAATTACATACACTTATTACATATATACTAATTACATACACTTATTACATACACACTAATTACATACACTAATTACCTGTACACTAATTGCACTAAACAATAATTATATATATACTAATTACATACACTTATTACATATACACTAATTATATACACTTATTACATATACACTAATTACATACACTAATTACCTGTACACTAATTGCACTAAACAATAATTACATATACCTGTACACAAATTACCCGGTATATACACAAATTACATACACACTAATTACATATAAACAACTTACACTTATAAACAACTTACACTTATACTAATTACATGTACGTTAGTTACACTAATACAAATTACATGTACATTTTTCTACTTAGTCATTGTGACAAATGTTGCACATCACTGACCCAAATCTTTAATCCTTGAGCCATTAGTCCTTTTATTAATTTACGTCTCAAGTTTTGTCGGTATCTTTATCAATTATTCTTTACTTTGGACCTTTTTATCAGCTAATTACATGTACACTACTTACATTAATAATAACTACTTCATTCTGATGATAATTCTGAAATGCTGACGGATGTTTGACCATTTGCTCTATGACCAGAGTTCAACATTGGACCCATAGACCAATGTTTTGAAATTTCAGGAATTGACGCATGGTGATGATGCTTTAGAATCCTTATTTTGTACTTTGACCTATGATCTTTTTTTAACCGTTGACCTTTATTTCTCATAAATGCCTGCAATCATGACTAACTACAATACCTGATAAACTCCTTACTACGACTTTTGACCTATGAACTGATTCTGGTTATTAACATTGTTTTTGTTTTTGTTCAAATAGAAGACATGATTTTAACTCCACAGGTGCCAAATATGATTCTGAGAATATTGAGGGCCAGAGATGTTTCCTGTCTTCCTTGACAATGAACATCAGGGAAGCCCTTCGAGAGTACCAGTCCGGAACTGATTGTCAAGTCTCCGAGAGGCCTGTAGACCGTCCAAGTCTCTCAGACCTCACAATATTCCTACAAACGTGAGATTATGGCTTTTGCTAGTATTTCTAACTTCAAGATAATCTCAAGGGATATTGAATATGTTCTACTTTAACAGTTTTGGAATGTCTATTTTCTATCTTACCATCTCAACTAAAGGAACGTCCATAAAGAAATGGTGGAATTTTCCTTATCATCATGTACACAAATGAAAGAGTACATATCATTTGTATCATTTCCATGACTCCAAAAATGAGCGTTTACTCTTGGGTATGAAAGGACACCTGTTTTGACCCTTCAGATTTCAAGAAAAAGGGTGAGTTGACTTTTGAAGTTACTAAATATCAAGGGTCAACTGTAAGTACAAGTACAGGAGAAATCTCTCTCCTTTACAGTTAGATATGGGAGAAATCTCTATCCTTTACAGATAGATATGGGAGAAATCTCTATTCTTTACATTTAGATATGGGAGAAATCTCTATCCTATACATTTAGATATGGGAGAAATCTTTATCCTTTACAGTTAGATATTGGAGAAATCTCTATCCTCTACATTTAGATATGGGAGAAATCTCTTTCCTTTACAGTTAGATATTGGAGAAATCTTTATCCTTCACAGTTAGATATAGGAGAAATTTTTATCCTTCACAGTTAGATATGAGAGAAATCTATATCCTTTACAGTTAGATATGAGAGAAATCTTTATCCTTTACATTTAGATATAAGAGAAATCTCTATCAGTTACATTTAGATATGGGAGAAATCTTTATCCTTTACCGTTAGATATGAGAGACATCTCTATCCTTTACAGTTAGATATTGGAGAAATCTCTATCCTCTACATTTAGATATTGGAGAAATCTCTTTCCTTTATATTTAGATATGGGAGAAATCTCTGTCCTTTATATTTAGATATGGGAGAAATCTCTGTCCTTTATATTTAGATATGGGAGAAATCTCTGTCCTTTATATTTAGATATGGGAGAAATCTCTATCCTTTATATTTAGATATGGGAGAAATCTCTATCCTTTATATTTAGATATGAGAGAAATCTCTATCCTTTACAGTTAGATATGAGAGAAATCTCTATCAGTTACATTTAGATATGGGAGAAATCTCTATCCTCTACATTTAGATATGGGAGAAATCTCTTTCCTTTATATTTAGATATGGGAGAAATCTCTATCCTTTATATTTAGATATGGGAGAAATCTCTATCCTTTATATTTAGATATGAGAGAAATCTCTATCCTTTACAGTTGGATATGAGAGAAATCTCTATCAGTTACATTTAGATATGGGAGAAATCTCTTTCCTTTACATTTAGATATGGAAGAAATCTTTATCCTTTACAGTTAGGTATGAGAGAAATCTTTATCCTTTACAGTTAGATATGAGAGAAATCTCTATCAGTTACATTTAGATATTGGAGAAATCTTTATCCTTTACAGTTAGATATGAGAGAAATCTCTATCCTTTACAGTTAGATATGAGAGAAATCTTTATCCTTTACAGTTATATATGAGAGAAATCTCTATCCTTTACAGTTAGATATGAGAGAAATCTTTATTCTTTACAGTTAGATATGGGAGAAATCTCTATCCTTTACAGTTAGATATGGGAGAAATCTCTATCCTTTACAGTAAGATATGAGAGAAATCTCTATCCTTTACAGTTAGATACGAGAGAAATCTTTATCCTTTACAGTTAGATATGAGAGAAATCTCTATCCTTTACAGTTAGATATGAGAGAAATCTTTATCCTTTACAGTTAGATATGAGAGAAATCTCTATCCTTTACAGTTAGATATGAGAGAAATCTTTATTCTTTACAGTTAGATATGAGAGAAATCTCTATCCTTTACAGTTAGATATGAGAGAAATCTTTATTCTTTACAGTTAGATATGAGAGAAATCTCTATCCTTTACAGTTAGATATGAGAGAAATCTTTATTCTTTACAGTTAGATATGAGAGAAATCTCTATCCTTTACAGTTAGATATGAGAGAAATCTTTATTCTTTACAGTTAGATATGAGAGAAATCTCTATCCTTTACAGTTAGATATGGGAGAAATCTTTATCCTTTACAGTAAGATATGAGAGAAATCTCTATCCTTTACAGTTAGATATGAGAGAAATCTTTATCCTTTACAGTTAGATATGAGAGAAATCTCTATCCTTTACAGTTAGATATGAGAGAAATCTTTATCCTTTACAGTTAGATATGAGAGAAATCTCTATCCTTTACAGTTAGATATGAGAGAAATCTTTATTCTTTACAGTTAGATATGAGAGAAATCTCTATCCTTTACAGTTAGATATGGGAGAAATCTCTATCCTTTACAGTTAGATATGAGAGAAATCTTTATCCTTTACAGTTAGATATGAGAGAAATCTCAATCCTTTACAGTTAGATATGGGAGAAATCTCTATCCTTTACAGTTAGATATGAGAGAAATCTTTATCCTTCACAGTTAGATATGGGTGAAATCTTTATCCTTTACAGTTACGTCCGTAAACAATTCTTGTTATCGGTATTTCACAAGAAGTACCAGAGGGATCTTTCTCTAATTTTATATGCAGGTTCCCCTTGGTCCTTAGCTGTGCAGGGTAACTTTTGAGACTGATCGGATAAACAACATGGCCGACAGGCAGCCATCTTGGATTTTGATAGTGAAAGTTTGTTATCGCTATTTCTCAAGAACTACTAGAGGGATCTTTCTCAAATTTTATATGTAGGTTCCCCTTGGTCCTTAGCTGTGCAGTGCAACTTTTGAGATTGATCGGATAAACAACATGGCCGACAGGTAGTCATCTTGGATTTTGATAGTGTGGGTTTGTTACCGCTATTTCTCTGGAAGAACTAGAGGGATCTTTCTTAAATTTTATATGTAAGTTCCCCATGGTCCTAGCTGTGCAGGGCAATTTTAGAGACTGATCGGATAAACAACATGGCCGACAGGTAGTCATCTTGGATTTTGATAGTGTGGGTTTGTTACCGCTATTTCTCTGGAAGAACTAGAGGGATCTTTCTTAAATTTTATATGTAAGTTCCCCATGGTCCTAGCTGTGCAGGGCAATTTTAGAGACTGATCGGATAAACAACATGGCCGACAGGTAGTCATCTTGGATTTTGATAGTGTGGGTTTGTTACCGCTATTTCTCTGGAAGAACTAGAGGGATCTTTCTTAAATTTTATATGTAAGTTCCCCATGGTCCTAGCTGTGCAGGGCAATCTTAGAGACTGATCGGATAAACAACATGGCCGACAGGTAGTCATCTTGGATTTTGATAGTGTGGGTTTGTTACCGCTATTTCTCTGGAAGAACTAGAGGGATCTTTCTTAAATTTTATATGTAGGTTCCCCATGGTCCTAGCTGTGCAGGGCAATCTTAGAGACTGATCGGATAAACAACATGGCCGACAGGCAGCCATCTTGGATTTTGATAGTGAAAGTTTGTTATCGCTATTTCTCGGGAAGTACGGGAGGGATCTTTCTCAAATTTTAAATGTAGGTTCCCCTTGATCCCTCGTTGTGTATGTTATATTTTGAGACTGATCATAAAAACAAAATGGATTAAAAGAAGAACTAAACAGATCTTTCTCATATTGCAATGATCGATTCTATTTCTTTCACATTAAGTACTGTACTAGTAAATATGTGAAATGACAAACTCACTTTGAAGGTTGGCTTTCATACACATCAGTATTAAGTTTAGATCAAAAGTTACCTCAAGGTGCATTTACTGTTAACATGACTCCCTCTGGGATCTCTTGTTTAATTTTCCAAGTTTATTGTGTGGCTTTTCCACCTATAGCATGTATGAACGGACCCCAGACTATGATGTGGAACTTTTGGTTGGAGACCAGACATTCTTAGGACACAAGTGCATTCTCTGTGTCCGATGCGATTATTTCTACAAAAGACTGACTGCTCCAGATACACTTCAACTGAACACACTTGAGCTAACTGACCCAGCGGTAAGGCTCAAAGGTCATAGGTTGAAAGTGCAAATGTCACACATATATTCTTTCAATCTACCTGCAAATGTTTATCGTTTTTAAATCTTGAAGGTCAATGTCATACTTGACCTTCAGTGAAGTGTTGCATATATAAGGTTAAAAGGTCAAGGTTAAACTTCTGTAACGTATATTAATTGCCAGGTAGGTTCTTAGCCAAGATTATAAAGTCAAAATTGATCTCTCAAAGGTAAAGTAATAAACACTAATGCCTGCACTGCTTGTTTGATTCTGTAGTATCCGGAATTCATCTTGCCAAGTTTTCTCAGTACATTATGATTTGCTAATTCAATGGAGGTTAAAATACATATTTGAAAGTAATATATTTATATACCATGCACATTTACAGTTTACACCAGGGAGTGTTCGGGCTATTCTTCAATTCCTTTACACAGGTAAGTAGAATTAAAAGTTCTTATATACAGGTGCATGTACATAAATTAACCATTAATGTGTTGTCTTACTTGAGGAAATGTTAATTAGATGTTGTAATGATATGTCAGAATGCTTGGTAATTACTAAAATTGGTCTTAACAGAATTTCAAATGTGCATTAAGATCTTAATCTTAAGTCTATAATTGTATCAGAACTTATATACATGTATTTACATTTGTTTCCTCACTAGGGGGACTAGATCTACCCATAGAAGACGTTTGTTATATATTTACATTTGTTTCCTCACTAGGGGGACTAGATCTACCTATAGAAGATGTGGAAGACACACAGAGACTTGCTGCTTTTCTTGGATTTACAACACTAGCAAACAGCATTGAGGCTGAAATGAAACAAACTATATCTAACACACGTAAGAAAGCATTTTCAATAGGTTTGCTTCTTATCATCTTTGAGTCTGGTTGTATATTGCAAATTTAGGGCTAGATATACATTTAATTGTGACTTTACTGGTTGGTTGAAACAAAAACCAAAATTCACCAGAATCTTTCTCAATCATTTCGGTACGTGAAGAGTCTAAGATATTGTCAGAATATCAGGTAACAAGATTTGTTTTCATGATTCTGTTTTTATCTGAACAGCAAATGAAGATCTTCCTGAGCAGGTCATTAATGTGAGTCATCACAAGCAAAGGCAGGATTTGGTTTCCGACTTGAGAAAGCTTGTAATGTCCGCTGTACCCCAGCATCTACACCACCTGGTGAGAAAATCATTAAAATCTAGTCAAGGTTATATATACTATATTACATATAATGTCTGTTGTATTTTTGCTTGTAGTTTGAGGCTAATTAGGTTGTTTAGTGGTAAAAACATTGAATTTCATGAATTCCCCATATAAACAAAGGGTAGTAATATATACAACAGGCCCATGGGCCTTAACGGTCACCTGAGTCCTACAGTATTTTGTTGTCCTTGTTGAAATAATGATGTCATACGAGATTAATTTTAGTACATTATTTGTCAAACAAAAAAATTGTATTTCACCAGTGCGAGGTCCATCAGTCAATTATCACTACCAAGTTTGAGTAAAACTAGAGAAGTGTTTAACACAAGAATGCCCTTTGCCACAGAAAATGTTTCTCAGTGTTTGATAATTGACCTTGACCTAGTAAATAGTTTTTCAACGACGGACGAAGACGGATAGCAATAGGTCACTTGAGCTAAAGCTCAGGTGACCTAATAAATTGAATTCATTTTATTAATTTTCAAGATTCAATAGGAACCATGAAAACCAGGAATGATTATACACAGCAAACATTTCATGTTACACAGTATACTGTCTTTGGATTTAATGATAAATATTATCTATCTTTGACTAGAAAATACATTACAATAATGGGTTTCAGTGTCACCTATAAAGTAGGAGAAAACAAACAATATTTTGACAATTAGTTTGTGTATTTTCAAAAAATAGGTACCAGAATATCATCATTTTTTGAAAGATGCATTGTATATTCAAATAAAATTTATAAATGATATGTCTATTTTGTAAGTTTTTGTAAGGCTATTATAATAGTATGAGAAAGAAAAAATAAATTAGAAAATCAATAACAAAAAAAACAGCCTTATGGGTACCCATCCTTCGATCTAAATTTAAGATGTCTAGAGCGTTTTTTGGCTCGTCTATTCGAAGAATAGGGGGGCTATAACAGCACCCATGGCGTCGGTGTCGGCGTCCCACTTGGTTAAAGTTTTTGGGCAAGCTGTGTTTTGGTGTTTAGCTCAACTTTTAATTAATTTTACATTGTAATATTGTTACAGCAATTGCTTAGAGGTTCCTTAGCAACAAATTGGACCATATTTGCTCATTATTGGCCCAAAACACAAGTCTTTTGGAATTGGTTAAAGTTTTTGGGCAAGTTCTACAGGTTAAAGTTTTAGGACAAGTTCTAGTTTTTGAAACTACTGGGCAGACTTCAACCAAATTTGGCAGGAAGCATCCTAGGGGAAGGGGATTCAAGATTGTACAAATGAATTCCCTGACCCCCCAGGGGACAGGTGGGCAGGGCCAAAAGGGGTAAATTTGACAGTATGCCTTCAGACGATATCTTCTCCTAGGGGTTACTTGGGGGGGATCTATTATCTAAGATGGGATATCCTGTAATGGCCCAATTACTATAAGCAGTTTTTACAAAAATAATTTTAATAGACGAGCTATGCTGTTCTCCTACAGCTCTTGTTTAATCAATGACTCGGAGTGTAGCAGAGTTAAGTATATATTATGAATATCTGCTCAGTATAAATATACTATTGGATAATTATCATCAAACCCCCATACAATGCCTAAATTTCATTGGACAAATGGCATTATAACAAAGTTTTCTGTATCACAAACCCTTTAATGAAGCCAACATTTCTATGGACAATAATGCAGTAGGATGGTATAAAAAGGTTTTCTGAATTATATACCCTTTTATGAAGCCAGCATTTCTATGAACAAATGATGACAGTATATGTAACAAGGTTTTCTGTATTACAAACCCTTTAATAAAACCAACATTTCTATGGACAAATGGCATTATAACAAGGTTTTACTATGTTTTAAAACCCCTGTATAATGCCTACATTTCTCTGGATGATACTTTGCTATTATAACAGAGTCTAACTGTGTGTTCTGATTTCATTGTAACAGGTTGGAGATACTCAGAAGTACACAGAAGAGGCCAGCAAAATGGACATGGCAAACATGGTCACAAACACACCTATCTTTCCAGATATATGTTTCTGTGTTGGAAACCATGAATTTGAATGCCACAAGGTATACATACAAATTTGGTGATACTTTTAACAAATGTTTAAAGTATTCCATTTAACAAACCTTATTAAAGCTGAGAAATATCTTGTGAAAATCTGTTTAATATTCAAGTAAAATGCCAATAAGTGAGTCCATATGAAAAGGTGGAACAGAAACAATGAAGATTTAATTATATGATTTCCTTTTCTACACAGATGTTTTTCTATGGCAGAAGCGAGTATTTCAGGATTATGTTAATAGAAAAACAAGATGACCAGCCGCCGGCCTTGGAGGGATACAGACCAATGGTCAAGCTGGACGACGTCACAGCTGAGGACTTTGTACAGGTTATCTCCTATCTATACCAGGATCACTGCTTGGTCAGTTACTTTTAAGTCTATTTCCTGATAAGTTGAATCTACAAGGACCCAAATCTGTATATGATATAAGACAAACCAGCCTTTTACTGAAATAACAAGTATAATGTATTTCAAGGGTATTCAAATTGAAATCAACTCTGTTCAACTGACAACATGATATTCCTAGCATATCTATTTTGATGTAACAACATGAAGCAGGTGCTCAAAAATAAATTACATCTGATCCACAATATTGTGTTTTTAGCTCACCTGGCCCGAAGGGCCAAGTGAGCTTATGCCGTGATGCGTCGTCCGTCGTCCGTCGTCAATATTTTACTTTAAACAACTTCTTCTTAATAACCAAAAGGCCTAGGGTGATGATATTTGGCCAGGAGCAAACTGGAATGAAGGGCTACCAAGTTTTTTTCAAATAAATGACCTTTACCTATTTTCAAGGTCACAGGGATCAAATATGTTAAAAACTTGAAACAACTTCTTCTGAATAACCAAAATACCCAGAGTGATGTTAATTGGCCAGAAGCATGCTAGGATAAAGGGCTACCAAGTTTGTTCAAATGAATGACCTTTACAAATATTCAAGGTCACAGGGGTCAAATATGTACAAAACATTTAAACAACTTCTTCTTAATAACCAAAAGGCCTAGGGTGATGATATTTGGCCAGGAGCAAACTGGAATGAAGGGCTACCAAGTTTTTTCAAATGAATGACCTTGACAAATATTCAAGGTCACAGGGGGCAAATATGTTCAAAACATTTAAACAACTTCTTCTGAATAACCAAGAGGCATAGGGTGCTTGAATTTGGCCAGTTACATGCTGGGATGAAGGGCTAGCAAGTTTGATCAAATAAATGACCTTGAATTATATGCAAGGTCACAGGGGTCAAATATGTACAAAACATTTAAACAACTTCTTCTGAATACCCGAGAGGCCTAGGGAGATGATAGTTGGCCAGTAACATTCTTGGATGAAGGGCTACCAAGTTTGTTCAAATAAATGACCTTGACTTATATTCAAGGTCACAGGGGTCAAATATGTTAAAATCTTTAAACAAGTTCTTCTGAATAACCAAAAGGCCTAGGTTGATGATATTTGGCCAGTAATATGCTGGGATGAAGGGCTATCAAGTTTGTTCAAATGAATGACCTTGACTTATATTCAAGGTCACAGGGGTCGAATATGTTTAAAACCTTTGAATGACTTCTTTTTAATAAGCAATAGGCCAAGGGTGATGATATTTGGCCATTAACATGCTGGTATGAAGGGCTACCAAGTTTGTTCAAATGAATGACCTTCGCCCATACTCAAGGTTACAGTTGTCAATATATGTTTAAATCTTTAAATAATTTTTTTCTGTATAACCAAAAGGTCCAGTGTAATGATATTTTGCTAGAAGCATGCTGGGTTTGAAGACTATAAACTCTGTTCAACCTAATGTCCTTGTTCGACATTCAAGGTCACAGACGTCAGATGTTTAAATCTTTTAATAAGATTTTATGAATCAAACACTGATATTATGCCTGTAGTTGTATTTTAGTCCACTTTTAAGATGACAAGTGTGAGATTAAAACCAGGTGAGCGATTCGGGCCCATTGGGCCTCTTGTTCTAGATCCTCTCCCCAAATTTAAAATAAAGCATTGTTTGTGTCTGTTCTTAAATATTCTTGAAAGTTTTCTCTACCTGCCTACCTTATTTTTGAAAGCTGAAAGTAAAAAGAAATGGATTATTTCATTTAAACAAATATTATTAAAAAAACACCAGAAATGTTCTTTTTTATGTCTTAATGAGATTTTGTCTTTGATGTTTGCTATTTTTACTCAGGACACAAACCAGAATAGTCTGTTAGAGGTTTGCGACAGATGGACACTTACACGACTGAAGCTACAGCTGACTAATGAGGGTGAGAGTGTGACCGTATCCAATGTAATGCAGATATACCTCGCAAACAGGAATAATAAAAAACTCCTCAACAAATGTTACCAGTGCGTGGCTGAAAACTTGCTGGAGGTATGAAGTTGACACGTTTTTATAAATTCATGTACTGTTACTTTAAATGGTTTTAGTTTAATGAACAAACTTTTTACAGAATTGAGATCATATAGCTTATTAGTGGGAATTTGAAATCAGGAAAGAATAATATCAGTAATGTATCCTTGTTTAATGAAGGTAGAAAATTCCACCAATTTATTTTTGTCTCGTCGCCACGAAGTAACGGAAGCGAGCTAAGGTGTTGCTTTACTGGCGGCAGCGTCAACATGAAGTGTTTGCGTTTAAGTTAGTTTCACTGAACTTATAAGTGCTAGACCAACCAAACTTTTTTTGGACCACATATGCATCTTAGGTAATGCATCTCAACCCATACATCAAATGCTGGATGCGGCCTTCCTTTCATGGCTTGTTCTTATCAACTTATTAGGGCCCCTTAGCTAAGATACGGGTGCCCTATAGTAATCACTCTGTCTGTCTGTCTGTACGTCCGTCCCTCCACAAATTTTGTTCCTGGCTGATAAGTTTGGTTTTTATTTGACCGATTTACATGGAACTTGGTCAAGATGTTCAGTTCACAAAAATACACACTGAGGTAAAAAGTCAAGGTCAAAGGTCATAGTCATAAGTTTAAAAGGTTAAGGTTAAAGTTTGCTTCTTTTCACTGATGAATATTTGTTATAACATGATGAAGCAAAGTTGATCAGAATTAAATAAGGAGTCAACTGACCAAATGTCAAGGTCATTGGGTCAGAGGTCAAGGTAACTTGGTCAAAGGTCAAGGTAAAATTTTGTAGATTTTCACTAATGAGCATTTAATGACATTATGAAGCAAAGATGGTCGGAATTAAACAAAGAGTCAACTGACCAAAGGTCAAGATCACTGGGTCAAAGATCAAGGTTAAATTTTGTATCTTTTCACTAGTGAACATTTCGTTTTGACACTTTGAAGCAATGTTGCTCAGAATTAAACAAGGAGTCAATTGACCAAAGGTCAAGGTCACTGGGTCAAAGGTCAAGGTCAAATTTTGTTCCTTTTCCCTGATGAACATTTTGTTATGTCATTATAGAGCAAAATTGGTCGGAATTACACAAAGAGTCAACTGACTTAAGGTCAAGGTCACTGGGTCAAAGGTCAAAGTCAAATTTAGTATCTTCACTGTTGAACGATTCGTTATGACATTATGAAGCAAAGTTGGTCAGAAGTTAACAAGGAGTCAACTGACGGTCGAGGTCACTGAGTCAATGTCGAGGTCAAATATTGCATCTTTTTATTGATGAACATTTTTTTAATGTTATTATGAAGCAAAGTTGTTAAAAACTAACACGGAGTCAACTGACCAAAGGTCCAGGTTATGGGATCCAAAGGTTCAAGGTCAGGGTCAAGTTTTGTATTTTTTTTGCTGATGAACATTTTGTTATGATATTATGAAGCAAGTTGGTAGGAGTTAAAGAATAAGTCAACTGACCAAAGATCAGGGTCACTGGTTTAAAGGTCAAGGTCATTTGGCTCCAAAGGTCAAAGACAAAGTGGATCTCTGACTTTGACCCTGGCTCTTGATAGGGGTGGGGTATTTAAGGTGAAATAAAACTAATGAAAGCTAATAAATGAGTATTGCACTGGTATTTACATTTCTGTTAGCCCAGAAAATATGGAGGTGGAAGGAAACAAGACTCACATCATAGTACATGTAAAATGTATGAAGTCTAAATGTCAAACGTCAAGCTCAGCTCTATGGGCAGATTGCTTCTTGATGATTATGGGGGATATATTGCCACAAGACAGGGCCCTTACTGACCTGTCAGTGTTCTAGTTTTCCTAATAAATAATGTGTTATATCTTCTGTATTCATATAATTAGGGTGTAATAGTTTCTCTGTCATTATATCTGGACTCTTGAATTTTATTTTCAGTTAGCTTCGAAGTACGAGTTCCATCAGTTTCTAAAGAGAGAGTTACCTGCTCCTGGCAAAGAGGAACAGCAGATAAAATCAACTTTCGTATCAAAACTCCTGCACGAAATCCGTACCACAGCACACACATGGCAGGAGAAGAAGTGTGCCAATGAGAAGATCAAGAAGCTTAATTACATTATATCAAACAGGCTGGGTAATACTTCTAACTTTACGCTGTTTGATATTACACCCGTACCACCTGAAAATATGAGAAGAACAGTGACTTCAAATGACACAAACCGCACAGCACCGTCATCTTCAAAAGATAAATCTTGTGTAATATCATGAATTTCCCCTCGTTTGAAAGTACATTTATTACAAATGTAAAATGGAATCGACTTGATGAGATTCAATGTTATGAAATGTTATAACTGTGTTTACCTTGAAAAACGGGCAGAATTTGTGATGTTCATGTTACATAGAACAGTTGGTTTAAACATATTTGTATTGCCTTGAAAATGACAAAAAGAATTGGGCACAAGTTCTTACAACTTAATTAAGCCCTCTCCTAACTTAAATACATTTTACATACATCTTAGCTGTCCTAACATGTACATTTCATTTTATTTTATTTTATTTAAGTTGAATTAACAAAATAGGCTGTTGACGACTGTTTCTCTGTACCCCGACCTACCCAAAGAGAATAACCGAGTGTTTCACACAGATAAAGAAAAAATATTCTTTGAACATGATGTAATAGTTGTAATTAAGATTACTAGAAGCGGTTTGTATCCTTAATGTACTTACATACATAGGTAAAGGTTTCGAAAGTGAGATCATGATTTCCCCAGAGAATTGTGTTTATGTCTGAACAGTTGCTTAATAATTTTGCAAAATATGCATAGCAAACAAACTTCCACTGCCCAAATTTGTCCACAGCTGATGGTTGCCTGGCAACATTGACATTGTTAGTGCACTTGCCTTTCACCACCACAGTCAAGGAATCCTTTTATTGATTGAAGGTGAAAGTAATGGGATAACCTACTCAACCAGTTTGGTTTTCTCCAAGTACATGTACTCTGGTTTCCTCGAAGTACACCGGTTTCCTCCCATATTAAGGCCACCTGTGCACTTCCATTTAGGCCATAAGAGTGAATTAAGAAATTTATAACATAATTTATTTCATCATATTAATACTGTGTTATGCAGTGTCATAAAGCCATCACATAAATTATGTTTATGTAACATGTGTTATATCACTCCGAAAATGACGTCACAATTGAATTTGAACAATTAATGTGACGTCACGTCATTGTGAAGCGGAAGCAAATTTCATCGTTTCAGAGTCGGCCAAGTGCAAAATATTCATTTCAGATCACAATTATACATTTACTTTGTATTATATGATAAAAAGAATCTGTCATTCTATATACAAAGCTTACTTTTCCCCCTGCCATTTTATGTGAGGCATATAGTGTTACTCATATCATTGCTCTAGTGACATCATCTCGTAGATTTTCATCAAATGTTAGATAAAGGTCAAGTATGAGAATACCTTAGACAAGTTTTTATTTCAGGAGGCCAACATGAAGGTTATCTATATTACAGAATATTCTTAAACAATGACATTTGAATGTAAGCTGGTACATTCTTACTTCAATGAAATTTTCTAGTTTAAAAGGTGTAAGGTTGTAGTTGCTTATGGTAAAAGATAACATATTAGGAAATTAAGACCATTTAACATGTTAAAGATATACTTGATTCACCAGAAAAATGTTAACTTTGAAAGGATGGAAAAGGATATTAACAATCCTTATGAAAGGAAATACAACTAATGTATTCATATTTAAATTAAAAGTATTTAAAACATATATAGCAGGTGAACAGCAAAGTATGTACATTTCATGTATATATTAAATATTTGGACTGGAGAAATCAAATTTAAACACCACTGGTTTTGCCTTAAATTGATGATATAACCTTATTGTTGCTTGTAACCTCACAACTAGTGATTTACACATGTAATATATCCAGACTATACATGTCGATGTTATTACACTGCCTATATGTCTGTACATTACGGGTAGCCTGCTAGTCCGAGACTAGTGAAATCTCCAGCTGGACTAATAGCTTTGAAATCTGCTAGCCTGATTGACAAGTCAAAATTTGATACAACGTTTCATATTGAGTAATATTGGGTGAGCGTAATTTGCACCTAGACAAGTAAAATTGGAAACTACCTGGTACTAGCCCGACTAACTACCCCTGTAGTGGTTTTTGGAACTGATTACTTGCCCTATGCATAGCAGCCTGAATATACCAGTATGATTCAGTCTACAGGGAACACAATCCAATAATCAGCAGTGAACAATGACATTAGACCATTTTCGATAGCCTGATTTTAAGACATTTTAATCCAACTTTTTATCAAATATACTTTCAAATTTACTGAAATACAAATAGATAGTGTTAAGTTAGGTACGGAGCAGTCTTTGGTAATGTTCACATCCAATTCAGTGTTACATACAGGATATGTTCACATCCACTTCAGTGTTACATACAGGATATGTTCACATCCAATTCAATGTTACATACAGGATATGTTCACATCCAATTCAGTGTGACATACAGGATATGTTCACATCCAATTCAATGTTACATACAGGATATGTTCACATCCCCTTCAGTGTTACATACAGGATATGTTCACCTCCAATTCATGGGTGCATACAGGATATGTTCCCATCCAATCCAGTGTTACATACAGGATGTGTTCACATCCAATCCAGTGTTACATACAGGATGTGTTCACATCCAATCCAGTGTTACATACAGGATATGTTCACATGCAATTCAATGTTACATACAGGATATGTTCACATCAAATCCAGTGTTACATACAGGATTTGTTCACATCCAATCAAGTGTTACATACAGGATATGTTCACATCAAATCCAGTGTTACATACAGGATTTGTTCACATCCAATCAAGTGTTACATACAGGATATGTTCACATGCAATTCAATGTTACATACAGGATATGTTCACATCCACTTCAGTGTGACATACAGGATATGTTCACATCCAATTCAATGTTACATACAGGATATGTTCACATCCGATTAAGTGTTACATACAGGATATGTTCACAGCCGATTCAGTGTTACATACAGGATATGTTCGCATCCAATCCAGTGTTACATACAGGATATATTCACATCCAATTCAGTGTTACATACAGGATATGATCACATCCAATTCAGTGTTACATACAGGATATGATCACATCCAATTCAATGTTACATACAGGATATGTTCACATCCAATTCAGTGTTGCATACAGGATATGTTCACCTCCGATTCAGAGTTACATACAGGATATGTTCACATCCACTTCAGTGTTACATACAGGATATGTTCAGATCCAATTCAGTGTTACATACAGGATATGATCACATCCAATTCAATGTTACATACAGGATATGTTCACATCCAATCCAGTGTTACATACAGGATATGAAATAAAGAGCAGCTGGATAGTCAGCACTGTTCTTTGAAAAAACAATTGTGCTATCTACATCAGAATTAGACATATTTTATCACGATATTACATTATTATTTTATCATGTGATAGGATGATTATTTTATTATGAGATTGTTATCTGTCATGTGGTTGTATTATTATTATGTCATGTGATAAGATTGTTATTTGTCATGAGGTTGTATTATTATTATGTCATGTGATAAGATTGTTATTTGTCATGAGGTTGTATTATTATTATGTCATGTGATAAGATTGTTATTTGTCATGAGGTTAGATTTTTTTTACTTTTTAAATCTGAAGCATACCCAAAACCTTGTTTTTTTGCTCAGATTCATTTAATTCATTGCATAGAACAGTTTTACTTACATTGTATACTATTCTACACTAAATAGGGATCATTTCAAGATTTTGGAACATTGCTTTCCACTCGTAAAAAAAATAGTGAGTTATTGCTCCCCCATCACTACTACTGGAGGGAATTCTATGTTTGCATTCTGTCCATCAGTCAATCAGCCTGTGCATCATTTGTCCAGGACAAACCTCATATTCTGTGTCAGCTATAATTGCTAAGTAACTCATTGAATGGAATGTCCTTACTAAAATCAGGTTTTGAACCACACACCATATAACAGAGTTATTGCATTTTATTTTGATGCCAAAGTTTGTTCGGAGGTGGGAAAATATAGCTTACTCAAGTACTTGACGTTTTACAGAGACAGATAAATCAGATAAAAACAATCTACCTTGGTAAGTCTTGTTCTCATTCCATCTGGTTTTTATGAAACTCGCTGAAGCTCAGAATCTTTTATGGAATCTTGTTTGAGATTCTGTGTTTATAGCAACATTTATTTATGAGGACCCAGTAGATAATCCTGTAAGCATAAAATAACAAAATATTTTAATTAGAAATAATCAATTTATTTTGTAAATAGTTTTACAATTGACAGCTGATCATTGTGTAAAAGCTCTTGCCGGTATATACTGCTAAAAGTTCTGATATATTAAAAACAAATATATGTAACTCATATTTTCAAATATACATTGATTCTGTTGTGCCATTTTTTTTTATTTTTTTTTAATTTATTGCTTATTAAAATTGATATTTATTTGATGATGTTGTTGTGTTGTTACTTTTTCACCTTTAAATATGTTTTAAGCTGTGTGCACAAAAATGATATATAAACAGTTGTAATTTCTTATCATTCAAATCTCCTTGGAAAAACATACCTTGTCACTTAATGAAAAGTGATATAATATTGATAATAATAGAATGCCACTTATTAAAATATATATCATATTTGACCTAATAAATGCCCTGGAATAAAAAAAAATTCCTTAATCCTAAATAGAATTCTCATCCTTAGCATGTGCTAAATTTCATCAATTTTTAATTCAAATTGTAAAATATTTATCAGTCGATGTAAATAAATCGCCTCTTGATTTTACTTGATATACTGCGGTATATTTTACTCTGGAAGATATACATGAACCTTGATAATGCTCATAGAGTTACATTTAGTGAAACAGGTTCTTATTGATGTTTGAAAATTAGGATGGTTGCAGGACAATTCAACATGAATTATTGTATGACCAGGAAAGGATAGGGCACTTATTACGTCAAATGTAGTATTCTATATCAAACTTCTATACACCGCTAACAATGTCAGTTATTAGTTCTAAACTTCTGGACTATAATGTCACACAATTGTATATCAGTTTGATATATGATGTCACACAATTGTATATCAGTTTACTATATAATGTCACACAATTGTATATCAGTTTACTATATGATGTCACACAATTGTATATCAGTTTACTATATAATGTTACACATGAAAGACTATTTAAACATTTTTAATACTGTATTGAAATAAACAGGATGGATTTAAAAAATAAATTCCTATTCAGCAGTAATATACACAAATCGTGTACGAATGGGCTAAATACTTAATACTTTAAAAACATTCTCATGCATCAGAGTTGCCTCCCCTGATTGCTGTCGATATAGTTTAAAGATTGACAGATGTGTGGTTGAGAATGGCTTCAAAAATGCATAACACAAACCTATACATATAAATACATCAGTAGAACAAATTCCATATCAATGGATTGTATACACAATAAGCAATAGTTTATAACCTGTACACATGAACAATGTAACAATATGGAAGGGTAGGGAGGCACTATTGCAAAGGCTTCACAGTCTAACAAATACTGAAATTGTTTGAAATAAGGAATTGTAGGTAGATCTGAACTTGACTGCCACTCCTAAAATATCAATACAGCTAGGTGCCCCCCATTTATAAATATTTCTCGTACTGATTTTGTTTTAAATAAAACTAGCACTTACATTTCTATCTGAAATAATGCTCATGGTTAAAATTTGAAAAAAATATTTCTACAGTGACTTATCTTCAGTAAGCAGATATAGATTTATACAAATTCACCAGTTACCAGAGTTAGGATTAGGGACAAGTGAAAAGTTGGGGCTGTACAAAATTTGTGATAGAAATTAATAAAAAAAATTGTCATTGCTTTTGTAATTAAAGTAATTTCAAGCCCCCAGTCGGTCAATTAAAATTTAAAAAAACACCAATCGTTAATTTTGGTAGGAATGTCAGTACAATCAACTTTTTACTTTAAACAATTTCTTCTGAATAACCCAGGCTGATGATATTTGGCCAGTAGCATGCTTGGATAAAGGGCTACCAAGTTTGTTCAAATGTATGACATCTCCCCATTTTCAAGGTCACAGGGGTCAAATATGTTAAAATCTTTAAATACCCTCTTCTGAATAACCAGAAGGCCAAGGATGATGATATTTAGCCAATAACATGTTGGGATGAAGGGCTAATAAGTTTGTTCAAATGAATGACCTTTGTCCATTTTCAAGGTCACAGGTGTAAAATATGTTGAAAACCTTTAAACAACTTCTTCTGAATTAACAAAAGCTCCAGTTACCTGGTATATCACTTTTAAGGCGTGAGATTAATACCAGGTGAGCAATGCAGGCCCATTGAGCCTATTGTTTTAATTACTATGTTAATTTTTAGTTAGGCACTACTTATTTTTTTCAATACAAAGGAACATATTTACTGTTATTTTAATAAGGGTCAATTAAATTTCAACATTTCATTAATTCAAACATATTTAATTGCGGGTCGACTATTCCTTTCTGAACTCAAATCCTACCAATTTAAAAGTATTTAGAAACACATTTGTGAAATATTGTCTCAATCAATGAATCACATATACAGTATATAAGATCAAAAGAATCAAAGAGATTTTTTCTTTAAAAAAAATTCATGTATATATATAAATTAAACATATAGAGTATATTTAGTTGAATGGATCAAGGTACAACTGACATTTTCCTTCTCCAATGGACTTAATGAAAATGTGAAAAAAATAAAATCACACAGTCTATTTTTGTTTATTTCCATCCATCATCTGTATACGTGAGTAATCAACTCTGGGGAATCGAAGAGTTTGTCTGACTGTCGTCGCTCCTCAATACGTGGAACTTTGGCCCAGTCAAACGTGGTGTAGACAATAAGTGATTTCTTCATGCGTCGAGCAGCAATAGCATCTTCTTCTGTTTCAAAAGGTGGGCTGTTTAATAAGAGAGCATAGTGTTTTAAAATATACATGTCACAGTAATGAACTAATTAGTTGCTTGTTAATGACTTGGCTGAGGGACTTTCCATTCTTAAGTTCCATCATCCTCCATTTCCAGGGGTTATGCTCACCTACGCTCTCAGCTCTCAGCGTAGGTGAGCGTGACCCCTGGAAATTGAGGATGAAGTTCCATCAGAAGAGTACTTTACTAGTTATCTCTCAGCGTAGGTGAGCGTAACCCCTGGAAATGGAGGATGAAGTTCCATCAGAAGAGTACTAAACTAGTTATCTGTCAGCGTAGATGAGCGTAACACCTGGAAATGGAGGATGAAGTTCCATCAGAACTAAACTAGTTATCTGTAGTCAACAATTCAATCCTTAGTGGAGGGATCATACTTTACTAAATTATTATTTATACTTACTTATCTCTCATGAAACTGTTTCCTATGAGCTTCGACTCTGAAAATTAAGTTAACATAAATAAAAGTTGAAATATTCAATTAACAACCATGAAAACATTGGTAATATATCTCTTACCTGAGGTTATGATCATTTCATGTACAGATCAGAAACTCAAATAGGGGATGGGGTATTTAATTAATATGTTGGATAAACTCTGATTACTGATGTCCTGTTTGTCCTAAAGTCAATTTCTGGTCTCACAACAGTTTTTAGTTTGTCTTTTACATGGATACCTAGAAAACATTATTTTTCTCACAATCACTTCATATCATTCAATTTGGACTTTAAAAAAAACTGTTTTTCTCTCATGTGTTTTTTTCTTGTAACTTTTTGGCAAATCTCTATTGTTCTTTTGGGTAGCCTTACTTACTACTTATTCTTTTAAGAGATTGCTTTTGAGTCTTCCCTTAGCTGGGTCTTAGTACAGGTTTGACTGTACATGTTTATGTTAATTCATAGTCCCATGAAATTTAAGCTACCTACCTGTAGAACACATGTTCTGCTGATTATTTTCTGCTGGATAGTATATAGATGGAGGCCCTTGTGATCTCCTCCCAAAGGCAACAGTGTCCCGGATTTTCTCCTTGTCCTGGTCATATATCCTGTTGGCTAACTCACGCTCTGATTTAGCTACCTCTGTTGGGAAAAAAAACATTGCTAGTCTTGAGTACTAGAACAAAACATATCAAATACTAAACTAATGCATAAAATAGAGATATTACTTCACTATTTTGTTTAAAACAGTTTTATTTGTCATAGAAAATTAAAACAAAATTAAGAGTCTATAAGAGTCAAGGAAGGAAACATGGAACTCTGAAGAAAGCAAACATTGGGCTACCTACCCTGTCTGTCAAGAAGATTAACAGTGGGAACAGACTGGATCACAAAAAGGCGATAGTCCTCCTCCTGGGCAATGGGATTGTTGAATATATCTGTAATGTACAAAGATATTTTTTTTCATACTGGAAACAAGTACAATATCTGCAATGTTAAACCAATGTTAATAAAAAAAAAATGAATATTTAATGTTTTATAGTGTTATTTTCGGCATTTTAAGATTTATCTTTTTTCTCCATAATGAAAAATTTGAAGCTGTTGGAGTATTAATTATGACAGAGCATCATAAAGAAAAACACAGTCTTTATCACATACAATATTTTTTGGTGAAGGTGTACATTAGGATATGAAATTCTTTAGAGGTTAGGCGAGATTGTGAGGTAGATGTACAACAAACACAAAAATATCAGTGATAAGTGAATAGACCAATGAAATGATTTTTTTTAGAATTTTAATGAAGGAAATTACATTGAGGTTTTATTGTTTAATATAGATGACAGGCATTTAAACCTCATCATAAAATTTATCATTACAATTATAGCTTACTGAGTGTGTGGAGGGTCTGCATCCTTGTGAACTCGCGGACAACTCGTTCAAGCTTGGTGAGCTGGTTGTTCTGCAGCATGAGAACCTTGAGACAGGTAAGGTGGCGTAAGGCACCGGTAACCTCGATCAACTCATTGTTCTGTAAATGGAGCTCCTCAATCATGTAGTTTTGTTGTAGGCAGTGTAGTCTCCGTAACTGACAATGAAACCAAGTCAAATCTTAACATTGAAATCAATTTTTCAGTTTGAATTATAAATATTACGTATAGGATCAGGGGCTGACAAATTTATCTTTAGCATATCAACACAACAGCATATTTTTGAAAAAAGTCTTCCAGCTCAGCCTAGCGTTATTTTCATAAATATTGAAATTTTTAACTAATCCTGACAGAAATAAATATACCTACTGCTAGTACCCCCTGGTTGCTGTGCTAGTGTATAGATTGTGCACCTCTGAAGAACTTAAGTGACTGTTTGTTTCAATTTCATAAGAGGTTGATAATTGAAACAAGCAAGTTAAAATGTGAAAATTGGCTCTGTTCATCATCTTTACAATGAAACCTGTCTAAAGCAGACACCATACGGTAAAACATTTCTTATCTGACATCATGCGTCACAACAAAAGGTCAGGTAAGAAAGGATATCAGAATACAGAGGTCTTTTTTGACAGTTTTGTATGAAAAGGAATCAAAGCATTATGGCATGATTAGGCAGAGCTCTGCATTACCCAGTGTTCAAATAAGTCAGGTTTCATTGTATATGGCACACTATTACCAGTCACCCTCCTCGTGTTATGTGGACAGGTACTTATCTGTGAGGTCAAATATATATATATATAGGAACTACTTGTTCCTGAATGTGAAACATTATATCATTGTGGTGTAGTCAGGTGGCAGAGTGCATTCATATTTCTACAGACAACCTGGATTGATTCCCAGATTAGATATGAAATGTATTGGGTCACCTGTAGCTTTTTTTCAGGTACTCTGGTTTCCTCCCTGTGCACTTCTATTCAGGCTAATAAGAGTGATTAAATCGTAAAAGATAAATACAAAAACAAAATTCTTTCTTTTTCTTTTTATGATTCTTTATTTTTTTATGAAACCTGGTACCGTAAGTCCGTCTATTTGTTAATGTATAGTACTTACTCTATTTCCATTCAGCCACAGTATCCGTAGGTAGGCAAAACGTGACAGATCATCGACGTGTGTGAGGCTCCTAAGAGAAACATAACAAGTATACATCAAAAGACATCAGTAACATTGAAAGTCTAGGTTGCATGCTTCTTCTCTGTTAGTGTTAATGGTATAAATAGAATGTGCTTTGCTAATGAATCACAAAACTGCACTCTATATTTTCAGATGAGGTTAGGCCAAACAAAGCTACCCCCTTTTAATATATGGCAGACCGTTATCCAAAGGCATACAAAACTTTAGAATTTTATGAGCTATGCCCTAGACAAGACTAAAGTGATGCAACGATGGAGTGTAAACCTATAGCCCCCTCTGGTAGTACACATCGGCTATTTCACTGATTGTACTAGGCAAAAAATAGCACAGTATTTTTGGTGAATATAAAGAAAATCAAGTTGAAGAAATAAGCATTTGCTGGATTTTTAAGACAATTTAAGGGATGTGTATATTTTCAAAACAGATTCTCATTATAATGAAATTAATTAGTGGACTAAAGAAATACCTACTTATCAGCAAGGTAAAGTTGATCCACATCCTTGTTTTTCTTGATTCCTCTTTGTTTCAACAGCTGGGATATTGTCTGTAGAAATTGAAATAACAAAAATTATTAAATCTTTATTCTTGTCTTATCTTATATGAAATAGACTTAGACAAATACATACTCATTCAGATATTTGATTAATATTATCATAATTCTTCTTGATTTTAAAATTCCAGTAACACTTCATGTACTCATCATTAAAGCAGGAACTATTATAAACAATGTGAACCAACATGTTGTTTATGAACTATGATGTCACAATTTTGTTAACTATTTATGACATCACAGTACACAATATTTGTAACACCACATTTCATACATCAAATCTATTTTGAGTCACAAACATTTGATCTGTTCATGACACACCTAGTGTTCTGAAACATATAAACATCAAAACAAAATTTCACCCTCAATTAAGTGAAAGATTGTTTTTTCCAATGCATTTTAGCTGAGAGTAATATAATATAATATATAGTACTTTACTAGTTGAATTACATGAGAAATATACACACTGGAGACTGCCAGACTTTTCAAATTTATGTAAATAAGCATTGTGTCTTACATACTGGTAAGTACCATGTTTATTCCACAATAAGCCCATGCCTGGTAATAAGCCCATCCAGATCTACTGCAGTCCAGTAGAAATGCCAATAAACTTCTATTGCAAAGTTCAGTAGATACTATTACATTGCCTGTAATACTAATAAGCCCTACTCTAAGCCAGATTGTTTAAGTCTTCTGGGCTTATTACAGAATAAAAATGGTACACAAAGTTTTTTAATAATTATGTCACTTGATTAGGATGTTTCAGACTATCATTAATTGTTGTAAAACACACACACTTTTTTTTATTCGAACACAGCAGAAACAAAACTCAGTTTAAATTTCACTAACAAAGTTAAACACCAACCCTGAAGCCTGGTTCAGTCATAAAACAAATCTGTTACAAAACCATTAGGATTTAGTTTCTCAATATTGCACCGTTTCCATTACCTTTAAACGTAGTGTGATGATGATCTGTTCTTGCGTAACCACATATTCTATCTCAGTCTAACAGAACCACATTTAAAGATGCAAATTTCTAATTTATTGCACAAAATGTTTGACGTATTTACAGCTCAGAAATGGCAATGAAAATATTGCAAAAGTCATGCAATTTCTATGTATCATCTATGTATATATTGTAAAGTTTCAAGGTATTCTTGAATAGTACAATGAACATATTCACATTTGTTTTGCAAGCAGCAAACAATGATGTAGATTCAAGCAAGTACAGAATATATATCTATATTTTGATCAATATGAAGGCAAGTTTATTTATTTTAATGATGGGCAAAGCTAAACTTAGTTTCAAACTCATGCTATGAGCTGTCTCAAAGAAGCAAAATGGTCCTTTCTTTATGCACCTGGATTTTCATTGGATCTAAATTCCACCAATCATCCTGCATATCTTTTGGTATCCACTCATCAGGCAACAATAGCTAAACCTAACCAGGGATGTGTAGTGGACGTCCCTGACCTAACCATCACCAGTTTTGAGTGACTGTGACACCCATTTCATTACTGTTTTGAAACTGTTATCTCACTCACACAAAAAGCAAAGACATGTACCTTACTCGTTTCACCAACAACTATCAATAGTACAGTATCAACAAATCCTATTTGATACAATGTATGACTCCCCTGGTCACACACTGTACAACCACCACCAACATATAACTGTACGAATTCTTACATATTGGACTATTTTCTGGCTGTATGCATAGCTAATTAACTGAAGAAATAGAAAAATGTAATGATTAATACAAATAATTTAAATTTGCTGTCCTGGAGTACCCTACGAAATATTTATTACTTCAGTAATTTAGTAAATTGTTAGGCCTATTATCAGGTTGGGGAAAACCACCAACTTGCATATAATACGCAAACTCGCCTATTATACGCCAGTTGGAGTATGGATTGTTACTAAAAATAACCCAAATTGCTTCAACAGTAAGTTTTGTAAGATATTATTAAAAATCGCATTAATTTACGACAAGGTAAATAATATTTTGCTAAAAGATGTTTACTGAAAGCGTTGGCTACTTAGAAACTTGATGTAACTTTATCGGAATTATTGCATCTAATTTTGGTACTTTCCCACATGCAAATAAAGTTTATTTTTGCCTTTGTATTATGTTTCATGACTGAATAAATGCGACTTGGACAAACAATTTGAAAAAAGTTAAGATTAAAGTGATTTTGTCTATATTTAGTAACAAATCCATACCCCTATTGGCGTATAATAGGCGAGTTTGCGTACTATACGCAAGTTAGTGGTTTCCCCGACCTGATTATTCTCCTTTCAACATTTGTTAGGCCAACAAATGGAATCATCTTGGTGATTTGTATGTCTGTACAATTTGAAATATAGGTCATTTTGTCGTATAGGTCCAACGTTGAGTAGAATAAAATGTTGGTCATTAGGCCGTAATACGTGTTTCATTTGTTAAATTTCTGCTAGCATTGAAGACATGCTTTAAAAAAGTATTATAAACTTGAGAGGCTTAAATTTACACTGAAGCAATTCAATAATCTTGTAGAAGACCAAACACGTACATGATTAAACGCAACACAATGGGCATGCACTACAGTATTATGGTATCGACAGTTCAGTAAACGACCGGATTGGTCATACATTAGCCATTCAATTAAATAACATGCAATTCAGAGGAAATTAAATGGTACAGTTCACATTATTGATTGAAAAGAGTATGTTTTATTTCTATGCAGTTAATCGGATGTATATAAGGAAGTCCCAAACATAAAAGTTTACCTCGTCCGCTGACGGTCCGTCGTCGGGGTCGGCCATCTTGCTCGTTGCTAAAATAACAAAAGTAAAGCTAGCATTATACGAAAATATTTAGATGTCCAAACTCGGCCTACTGATGCCGATATTTTATGTTAATGTTGTGATGTGGTCTTTTTACTTATAGGTTACAGAAAATCGGTATATTTTACATAATTATTGATATCTGTAAAACTGATCGCCGAGGACCATGTTCCTAAAGCTTTGTTAGCTTGACACTGCAGGTCAAAAAGTATCAGGAGAGGGAAAATACAACAGGCCAGACACAGAAACCATAAATCACACTTTTGAACAAACTTACTATTTCACCTAAAGATTCATTACCAATGTCAACTCATTCTCCTTTGATATTAAATTTGTTCAGGCATGTCCTCAAACGTTATAAGAGAATATAATCAACGCAAACGACTAATAGAGCATGACAAGTATATAGAATATCAATTATCTCCAATTATCAGTTGCAAATTAAAGCTTGTTATCTCGCTAACCATAATAACCATATTCACCGTGATACTGAGGCAGGTGCAAAAAAAGTCGTGAAATTGCTTCATGACGTCATACTCATGATGGTTCCAACGTGGGCCAAACTTGCCCCAAAACGGGACACGTTTCGGCCATTCAATTTTCCGACAGAATTTTTTTTTTTTAAATCTCCAAATTCGGACGTGTTTGCCATTTTGTTTTTATTTCATTAAAAGCATGTAATTTCTCTTCCAATTGTTATATACATGTATACATATTTCTACAAATGCCATTTTGTCCAGAATGACCGAGATGGACCGAATTTGGCCTGGTCTCCCATAGTCCTTTGATAGCTATTACTCTACCAAACTACAGGCTAGATATAAGGGCCTTCACGTGGACATTTCTTTTGTCTTATGAACAAGATTTGAATAACTAATTTGACCCATGTGACCTCGAAAGTGGTAAGAAACCCATTCACAAATTTCAAGGATCTACATTCTTATATGGATCAGTAGTGTTTCCCTTGGATATAACATATTCAAATTAGTTTTGTTTTTAGGGGTACAGTTTTATATCTTGCAATAAAATACATGGGATTGCTATAAGTTGAAAGTCTCTTCTGGCCCTGACACCAGTCTACTTCTGGCCTTCTGCCCCTGACACCAGTCTACTTCTGGCCCTGACACCAGTCTACTTCTGGCCCTGACACCAGTCTACTTCTTGGCTTCTGGCCCTGACACCAGACTTCTGGCCCTGACACCAGTCTACTTCTGGCCTTCTGGCCCTGACACCAGTCTACTTCTGGCCCTGACACCAGACTTAAACATATTGGCAGATGGTGTCCAGACATCTATCTGTCAAAATGTCAAAATCTGGTGTGTTGACATTGACCTATATTAAAGGTCATGGGGGTTAAATCTGTTTGAACCTCGAAACATCTTCTTCTGAAGAATGGAAAGGCCTAGAGTCATGCAGCTTGTTCTGATTGAGTGATACAAAATAAAAGAAATTACTTTGGCCTTTATTCAAGGTCAGCGGGGTCAAATCTTTCAAAACACTTAAATGCCTTCTTTTGAAGAACCTTAATTCCATTAGTCATATTTAACAGCCTGCTCTCTGATGGCATGAAGTGTGTGCTACCAAATTTTAGAGAAGAAATCTGTTAAAACAATCAAAACAGGTTTTTCTGAAAAATAAAAATACCTTGAGTCACCATATGTGGCCATCAGCTTGCTCAAATGGAATACTGCAGAACTAAATGACCTTGACCTATATATTTAAGGTCAAAGGGGTCAAATTTGTTAAAATACTCAAACAGCTTCTTCTGAAGAAACAAGAGGTCTTAAATCATATATAGCATGCAGCTTGTTTGCAAGGAGTGTTACTAAGTTGTGAAAAGAAGTGCCATGACCAATTTTCAAAGTCACAGGGGTCAAATCTATTTAAACACAAATAATTTCTTCTGAAGAACAGAGAGACTGTCGTCATATGTCGTCAGGACCTTGCTGGCATGGAATACTATAAAATTTTGAGGAAAGAAATGACCTCAAATTAAATTCAAGATCAGGTAGATCAAATCTGTTAAAAAATCAAACAGCTTATCATGAAGAACCGCGAGCCCTATTGTAATTACGCATAGCCAGTTGTTAGCTAGCTGAGAGTACTACAGTACAGAGTATATGAAAATAAAAGGTCTTGACCTATATTGAAGGCCACATGCCTCAAATATGTTACAACATTCAAACTCTGTGTTTTGAAACACCAAGAGGCCTAAAGTCATGATATATCACCAGTGGTTTGCTGGCATTGATTGCAACAAATGAGAAAAGAACTGATCTTGACTCTTCTGCAAATATATAGTGCTTGGAAATTTGTGAAAAGAAAAGGCCACTTAAAACAGGTGAACATCAATCTTCAGACCACTTTGGCAAGAGGCAATAGCCACTGCCCCAATAGAATGCAAGCCTAGCTAATGGAAACGTTATGTTGACGACATACTTGGGATAATCAAGAAGGGTCAAAGAAAGATTTGACCACACATATCAACATTATAGATGCCACTAACAACATCAAACTCACATGTGAGGAAGAAACCAATGGCACAATGCCCTTCCTAGACACTCTACTTGTAAAGAAAGAAGACGGAACCGTGAAGGTATTGGTCTATAGAATTAAAGACGGACCAATACCTGAACTTTAAATCTCACCATCCTTTACACCAGAAGTTAGGCGTCGTACGCACATTGCTCAACAGATGTGATACAATAGTCATAAAACAACAGGACAAAACACAAGAGCAGAATCACAGGGGCATGGATCGCTTTACTTGTAATATAAAAAAATAGGGGTCTCCTATACTAATATATATATAAAAAAAATAGGGGTCTCCTTTACTAATATATGTATATTTTAGTATAGGAGACCCCTATTTTTTTATATTACAAGTAAAGCGATCCATGCCCCTGTGAGCAGAATCACATCGCTGGGGCAATGAGGACATGTGCCTATCCGGAATGGGCCCTAAAACGGGTAAAAAAAACCAGTGTCAAATTAAGAACAAAACCTAAGGTCAAATGGTCATCCCGTATATAAAGGGTATATCCAAAACTATCCAATATCCTAGTACACCCTAAGGATAAAACACCTAAAGAAAACGTCACAGAATGCGTATACAAAATCAGATGCAAAAACTGCGACGCGTCGTATATTGGAGAGACTGGAAGTCGCTTTGGGGTCCGCCTTGGTGAACACCGGAAAGATTCAGAAAACAGTCGAGTCCCAGATAAATAAATCGCCAATCACAGACCATGCCACACAGAAAAAACATGTGATTGACTGGGATAACTCCAAAGTTTTCGACAAAGAGAGCAATCTGTTCAAGCGGCAGATAAAGGAAGCCATCTGGATACGCGGCAGTGGGCCAGTTCTAAATCGAGACGAGGGGGTTCAAAGACTCGCACATCTATGACCAAGTGTTAACAAAGCGTAGCTGAATTGAGTCATTTCGGTACATAATAATATAACAACTATTGTACATACGTTTCAAGCGTGGCCTAAATCGACATCGATTTTATGGACAACTCGTACACATTTTACACCTTTGTGTGCATACGCTTCATTGCTCATTTGTCTGATGAAGGTGACGCGTACATATCGTACTAGTCATCGAAACGTCACATAGAACATGTTATTGGTTGTGTAAAAAAACCTTCTCATAACCATACTTACCAAGCCGAAGAAAATGTTTAGAGAGGATTTTAAAGAATTTGCTATGTTTCCCCTATTGGGCCCCGCCCCTCAGGCCCCTGGGGGGGGGGGGGGGGGGGGGGGGCGGGCAGACCAACGGTTTATACAAAATAGGTTCCCCTTCCCCCAAGGATGCTTCTGGCCAAATATGGAACAAATCCTTTCATTCCTACAGAAGGAGAGGGATTTTAAAGAATTTGCTATATTTCTCCTATTGGGCCCCGCCCCTCAGCCCCCAGACCCACCATTTATTCAAAATTTCTTCCCCTTCCCCCAAGGATGTTTCTGACCAAATTTGGTCAAAATCTGCTTAGTCGTTCATGACTAGTAGCGATTTTTAGAAAAAGTTGACTGACACGGACCAGGTGAGCTAAAAAGGGAGAACATCGCTGTGTTGTATAGGCAGGATGTCGGGTTTCACTATGCTACAGTAATACAAATTACATATATATACCAAAGGTACTGGTATATACACTGAAACCAAGGAAGGCAACAAGTATGACATTGCAGACACACCAGACCATGGGGGCCTGTTACAAGTTACTGTGCACCTATATACTTCTCCAATTTGTTTTTGTCTCCTGTTAAGGACACAATGGATATACAGTATATTTGGGTGCAAATTCTGGTATAAGAGTACTGCCAATAAAGTATACTGTTATTATGAAATTTGTCATCACACTTCAGTCAGTGATGTCAAATGTGACCTTTGACATGTTCTTGATGCATGTAAATAATGAAATTACACGAACTTGCCAAAAACAGCAATAAAAGGATCAAGAAATAGTGATGAGGAATTTCACGTGTGCAAGCCAAAAGTGAGGACACCTTTCATCCTTAGAGACCACAGTGACCTCATCCAAAGGAAATCACAGTTTAGAACATTGCACGACTCCTAACAGCAACCATAGCAGCTGTGTTGTTGCAGACTAATGAGATTGCCTCCAGGGCAAATCTTTTACAAAAGTGACATTGTTGGAACTATTGCAAGAACAGGTCACTATCTACATTAAAATGTCATAATGTGGTGTTATATACAAAATGATAACTTAATCTACAAGATTATTTGTTACCAACATTGAGCAGCTTATTTAATAGAATATTAGTGGATGCAGGCATTGCTGTCCACATATATATAATTTGAAATACAATGTGGTAAACATAAAATAAGCTGATACATAAGACGCTGTATTATCTTGCTTGAACTCAAGATCTTTCTAGAAGTTTTTCCCAAAGTCAAATACATTTTTAGATGTGGGAGATTATTCCAGATATCAATTATTCTTTGAGTAAAGTCATGTTTTCTAATAT